CTTACCGCCGCCGGCAGCGTTGGTCTTCTTGCCGCGATGGTGGCGGGCCTCCACGGCAAGTGGCTCTTTAGCCTGGAAAGCTAGTCAGCTCCCGAGTCCAGAGTGTAGTCGGCTCGGAACTCACCTCGCGCTCCTCAACAGCCGTGGTCATAGCAAAAGCTGGCATGACCAGGGCAACGACGGGGGCCTGTGTGATGTCAACGTCAGCAACGGCTACGCTTCCCACTTGTTCGAGACGGGTCGACGAACCATGCGCCTGGCAAGCTGGTTTGCTGGCGCACCAGTGCTGAGGGACTGGACACCAGTGGCGGCAAGAATAGCGGCCACCAAGACATGGCTAAAGGTGGGAGCGTGCATGATGATGAATCGGGCTTGGCTGGCCGGCAGCGAATGACACACCGTAGAAAGTAAACGACAAGGAAGGAATGGAAGAAAAATCGCGTCGAGCGAGTGTGAGATACAGAGCCCCGATTGCGAATCTGGTGAGAAGGTTTGAGAGAGTTTATATTGCGGCCTGGCCGTGATCCAAAGGACGGGCGCGGCTGGGAGCCCCGTGGTTCTCCAGGCCTGTCTCTTACAGACGTCGTCGCTTGGGCTCTGTACCTGAGCCAACTTGGGACGAAGCTCCCAGCCCCTGGTGTCAGAAACGTTGCCTGTCCAGTCTACTACTGGGTCCAGAGATGCCCCATTGTGTCAGCCGTGTGCCAAAAGGCCTCCAATCCAGCCGTATTCCCGTCCTCAGGCCTCGTACAAAGGACATCGAATCGCTGAGAATGTCCAATGTTGCGATTACGCTCGGCATGGGTCGCGCATCATGGGGCACGTCAGTCGGGGTTTCACGGATCAGACGGCGGACAATTTTACACCAGGAAGCGTTGTCGAGGTTTCGAGGCGTTCAGCCGCGAGGCCCCTGGTGCGGATCAGTTGCCAAGACTTGACGATGGCCCGCGAGTGTGGCACGGGCAAGGTTTCGAAGGCCGAAAAGACAGGAACACGTGACCTCTGTATCGAGGATCACCACTGGGGTACTGGATCGCCGGCAAAGGCGCATCTGTTGTTGATCCCCCATGGTTTCCCTGTGAACTTTCTTGTGGGGGGGTGAATCATACCCCCTGTTTCGCTCCCGACTTGGACACTGAAACACGACACCACTGCATCAGCATCTATAATGAAACCTCAAAACGGACTCCCCCGTAGCCGGGGGCGGAAGCGCCGCACGCAAAGCATTGCCATCGGACTGCTGGCGATTGGACATGTAGCGTTCCTTTGACTCGCTTGAATCTCTCTTTTGGAGCTTGTCTCGCCTCGAATTGCCCTGCTGTGTCGTAATGCACCGTCAGCAGTCGATCAAACTGCTGGGGGTGCAAGTGTAGAACTGCAACCCGGCGAATGATGACTCTGGACACTGGAGGGCGACAACTATTTCCGGCCGGGCTGGGCCGCCGTGTCTAGCGCAGGCTCGCTACCGCTTCGAAGTGCTGCTGTGATGCCCTTGCTTTGAGGTGCACCTAACGTAGGGACCGGGGGGGGGGGGGGGGGTACACAGTACTCGTCTCATCTTGACGAAGTCTGAGCGGTTCTGTCGGGAGCGAGCGCCCCAGCCTTTGGCTGTGCCTAGCGAGACTTTTCAACTCTTCTCCGTTTCGTCTGCTTGTCGCTTCTTCCAAGCCTTTCTCTTTTGTACCACGGGTTCACTTCTTTTCAGCACCTGGCGTGCCCTTATTTCCAAGCGTCTTTGAGCCATTTCGAAGCTGGTCATCATGTCGAGCAAGACGTACGAGTCGAGAATTCCAGAGGAGGATGAAGAAAGCCTCACAGAGACTCTGGCAGAGAGCGTGTCCGATGGAAAGCGGGAATGGAAGCGCATGAGCTGGTATGAAGAGCGGCCGCGAAGCTGGTTCAAGTCCGTACAACAGAATTGGCAGTGGCTGGCCCACGGCGTACTCTTATCCATGTCGCTGGTATCACTGGTGCAGGCATACCGAATTCGCCATGCTGATCAAGATGTCTTTTTCACCAAGAAGTATTCTTCCTATTGTGAGTCGTGCAGGAGGAGACGTATCGGAGCTGCGCCTTTTCTGACCACTCGAAGCTCCTGCCGCGGAGGTCGTCAACTACCACACGGAGCGGTATAACCTCACACCCATCATGGACTGGTCTCCCTATGTCGGATACGGCAAGGAGGTCGACCGGGCGTGGGATCACATAACCAACAATGGTATGCAACCCCAATGCTCTTTGGGGGGTCGAGCTTCGTTGCTGACGGATCGCAGTGGGCGACCAGATGATCTCGCAGGCTCAGCTAGAACGTCTCGGCCTCGACCCTTCGTCCATCAAGTGGAAACATCCCACTACTGGCGAGGAGGGCTACCGTGTGGGCATCGAGGTCTTCCACCAACTACACTGCCTGAATCTCCTCCGTATGGCCACGTGGAGCGAATACTACTCACAGGAGGAGGTCGGTGGTGACGTTGCCACTGATCCGGAGGACCTTCGTGGGCATGTCGGTAAGTCCCAACGGCGACGCTATCTCGGCAAGAAATGGCCCAGGCTGACTTGACATAGACCACTGCCTGGAGGCATTGAGGCTCAATTTGATGTGCCAGAGTGACATTGGCATCTTCACGTTCAAAAACTATCCGGATTTGCCAGTGGAAGGCCACTGGCCAGACTTCAGCACGTTGCATGTCTGCCGCAACTTTGACGACATCAGGAATTGGGCCATGGTCAACTCGGTCACCTTTGAAGATGAGGAATAGATAGAAGCTAGAAGTAATACGCCGACCGCACATAGTAACGTGATGATGAGCCACGCATTCGACGAACAGTTTCATCTCGTGAAAGTTTGGCTCATATTTCAGGAAAGCAAGCTACCTTACGCCAAAAAAAAGTCACTGAAACTCTCTCGCGAGGTTGCACTGAATCTCGATGTGTCAGGCGCCAGGCAGATCTTTCTTCCAGCTCCTCATCTCGTTGAAGCCGTGCCGCCTTGCAGCTATAGCTATCCGATACCTGAATCGACCAATCTCAGGCCAATTGAACCAATCAAACTGCCTTCTCTGCCGTGTTCGCATGCGTCTTTCAGCCTCTGACCCGAGGGCTGAAATTCCAAGCACCTGGTCTGACATGGATGATTTACCCGAACCAAGGCTCTCGATTCTCTGTCGCGTATTTCCTTCGGCGTTCAAGTCCTCGCCACTCTCACCCACGCAGTGAGCAGAGATACTTGGCCTGTATCCGCTGTGGCTGCCCAAAAGATACCACGCGTACAGGGTCGTCAAAATCGACACGACCAGGAAAGAGAATATCGTCCAGTTTCCCATGCTGTACATTGGAGCTGACCAGGCCGGGAACAGAAATGGCGCCGAGATGCCGGCGCAGTTGGAAATGGCGACCATACCGCCTGTCGCAACCGCGGTTGCCGTAGAGCCCTTGACAGTAGCCGTTCGATGCTGGGGTACTCGTCAGTCATCTGAGGGCCTGACGCAAACAAGAAAGCACGCTTACCGCAATAAATGGCAGAACAGCAGCGTTAGTACAGGCGATGATACACACAGCCGCATACCGTACGGCCCAGTTCTTGACTGACGCCAGTACCAAGTATCCAGTAGCCACAAACACCAGGGCACACACTATATGTTTGGACCGCTCTTGGGTTCTGTCGCTGTGAATGCAAGCTCCGACAACCACCAAGAGCGCGAACAGGTTGGGAGGCACGGTCATGAGCTGGCCTGCGCTCCCGGAGAATCCCAAATTCGCCACGATCGATGGAGCAAAGTACCCAAAGGCGTTGAGCGCGTTCGTCATGAGAAAGTACTGTATAGAGTAGAGCCAGAACACAGGGTCGATCAGAGTTTTTTTGACCGTCTCGCGGTCCCAGGTGGTGTCGCCCATGGTAGGCGCGCATGGACCGAGACGCTGAACGGCGAACGTCCTCTCCTCGGGCGTCAGCCATGACGCTGTCTGGGGATAATCTGGCAACAAGAACCAGGCTGCTAGTCCGACGAGAACGCCAGGTGTGCCTTCCAGAATGAAAAGCCACTGCCAACCGGACAAGCTGCCGAAGCCATTCAGGAAAGAAATACCAGAAGCGATGAGTCCTCCGAAAGCGCAGGCTAGGGCCACGCTCGAGGCAAAGATGGCCATTCGGGTCGCCCGTTCTTCCGGCTTGTACCAGAAGCAAAGATGCATCATGACTGCAGAAGAGAAGCCCGCTTCCGCGGCCCCCGAGAAGAACCGGGCCAGCAAGAGTGTCGAGAAGTTGGAGACGGCCGATGTGCTCATGGCTACCAGTCCGACTGAGATGACGATTCGAGCGATCCACTTGCTCGGCGAGAAGTGCCTCATTAGCAGAGTGCCTGGAAACTCGAAAATGACATAGGGTACGAAGAAAACAGCAATCACGATGCTGTACCGCGATCCTGAAAGTTCCAGCTGTTTGAGAATGTTGTCCTCCGGTCGGTTGTCATTCAGAGTCCGAGCATTTCCCAGGCTGATACGATTAAGGTAGCCTGAGACTGTTAGCAAGACTTAAACCAATGGTCCCCCGGAACAAGACTGACAGAGGAGATATGTTATACACATCCACGGGAGCAGATACATGTCTTGTTTCCTGATGACCCGTTTCTCGAATTCCCTATCATTCAGATCAACCTTGTCGACATCGGCCATCTCGAGTGCTGGCTGCGCCGAAAGATACGGAGCGATCTGTGTCCAGAGACCCATGATGGCAGGTCTGGCAAAATATTCAACCAATTTCAAAGGCCGGCAGATGAATGTTATCAGTGGCGAAAGGGCATCGACTTGTTTGTTGTCTGGAGGTCTTCAAGCTTCGACATAAAAAATACGCGACAGCCAAATGGCCCGAATACAGACTCAAAGTCTGCAGAAGCCATAACAGTATATATATGGTGTTTACGAGAATCGGGACATACAGGTATGTTTGTCTTGCTTGTGATGAGCCATGCGATTCTGGCATGGGAGCACTACCTGCCATCAGCAGCCACCTGTGTGGCGTGTTGAAGGTTCCACGGCACAGATCTGACAGTTATGTGACACCTGTGTTGATGTCGCTCTTGACATGGAGTGTTCTGACCTTCGTGACCATGCGGTGCCGATGCAGCAACAGAGTTTTGAGTCGTTCATGCTCCTAATCTACGACAGTCTCAAACCATAAGAAGCAACTCGTGACAGACTGAGAAATCGTGGGGGTTGCGATGCAATTTTCGAACGGTCAAAATGCGAGAGCTGAGCAGAGACCTTGGTGAACTTCTCTGCCACGTGGTGGCTTGAGGCTTCCATGAGGGTCCTTGAGATAAACTTCATGGCACACTTTCTCCATAGTCAGCCATCGCTAGACCTCAATGGCCATCTGGGGGTAAAAAAGCTTTGCCGAGTGGGATCACATGTTGCTCGCTTGCACCCTACACTTGATTTAAATGAGCCATCATCACATGGACAGAGTCTGTCTTGGACAGTCGTCAAGGCTCATGTCATCGAGTCTATGGCATCGCCATGCTGCCTACGAGCCATGATTGATGTCGTAATCACCACCTTGTTGTGAAGTATCTAAACCGCTAGCGTAATGTTTGTTCTCACTAGTTCGACATGAGGCTTCGAGGATTCGTTCAATTGGCCGCTTCTATCTAAACAACAACAACAACATCAATCAGAAGAATTTACGTCCAGCGGACCAGAACCAATGTGAAAACTCCGATCGCAACTAGCGAGCTTGCCACTAGTATCTTAGATGTGGCTGCAGCACGGCTGAGAGTGTTAGAGCGTTGTTTAGAGCAGAGTGAAGGGGTCTTCCGCAGGGTCCGCAGATAGATAGAATATAGGTATAGGATAGGAATATATCTGAATTCTGGCCCTCCGTAGCTTAGGGGGGCCCTCCGTAGCCTATATATACGTTCTCTCGTAACCCTTAGCCCCTAGCTAGCCCCTTAGCTTGGCAGGCCCTTGGTGGCTCCGCAGGGGTCCTGATAGAGAGTCACGAGATTTTCCTGGCCTTCAATTTTGGTGGAAGAGGCGGACGGAAGGAAGTTCCACCGCTGTACTGGTCTGATTGTGACCTGCATGGAATTTAGTGTCGCTATTTGTTGACTATTCAGTCTGTCAATCAAGGTGTAGTAGTAGAGAATGGCGGGTGAAAGTAAAAAATATCAATCATGGTGAGCCCAGCGAAGACATCGTAGGCTGTCAGAGCTCCCGCCAAAAACGGGACGGTTGACGCCTCGAATAGAAAGTAGCGGGAGCTGAGGAGGAGACATATTTGGTGTTGGACGTTTGATTCTGGTTTGGAGACAACATGACAACCTTTGTTCATCAACAAACAACAGTAACGGCCGCTTGCCACAATCATGATGGTAAAGAAGCGGTTGAATTCCTGCGCAACTTCGCGTCAAGCCTATTGCAAGTTCGCATTGTTGGGCAAGCAACAAAGGTGCAACACTGGTATCTTCTCAGTTGTCTCTGAAAGGCAACATGTTGAATTTAGTCAGAAGAGCAAACATTTTTTCAGTTCATGCCAAGAAGCATCCAACAGAACCACTGTACACCAGCTTCATTGAAGCACCTCGGTGCGTCTATAAGAGAGAGAAGACCGTCGTAGGATCCCATTCCAAAGTGGCATTTCCCAGGATAGCTACAACCCAACTAGGACTTGGACCAAGAACGACTTGACTTTAAAGATCACCGATTGACATGAGCGCCATGGCAACCACTGTGTCCAGCACCACTCCCCCATCGACTCCCCCTACCATTGCCCCTTGCCTGGAGCACACCTACTTCTTCTACGGCTCTCTCATGGACCCTGTCATTCTTGGAATTGTTACGGGCACCAATCGCCCTATTATCCTTCATGATGCCACCTTACGAGGCTACACTGCGAAGCTGTGGAGCATGTACCCGGCAATCGTTCCGGACCCCACCGGGGTCGTCCAGGGCAAGGTCTGGATCGACGAGGCGGCGAACCCCGGTACGGTGGCGCGGCTGCAGGCCTATGAGACGAACAATTACGAGGCGCGGGACTGCACCTTTTCGAGCCCCGACGAGGACAAGATTGGCAAAAGTGGACGGGTTTTCGTATTTGTCGGGAACCAGGAACAGCTGCGGGACGGAAAGTTTGACCTGGAGGCGTTCCAGAAGAGTTACGAGCTTGAGGACTGAGATTTCCGGTAAACGGAGAAATGGGGCACTCGAATGCTATGCGGAATTGAATACGCTCCGTTGCTGCTGATTTAGGTCACCCTGTCGTGGCAATGAGTGGCGCTAGCACCTCTTGATTAATTTCAAATTAGTTACTCACAGCTGAAAATATTCGAGGTGAAGCCTAGTGAACTAGGCAGTCTTCGGATGTTATGCAAGGCAGACCTAATGGCTATGAAGATTGCCGACCATGCAGAGTCTTGAACCCACCACTCTAAGCTGGTGCCTGGAAACCAACACTCTAACAGGAACCCCCCGTGATGGGATACGACTAGAGGCTGCCAAGGCCACGGTTACGCCTCCAAGCGCCGCGCCCCCTTCTCCGCCGGCGGAGGTGACGAACATGCCGCGTGCTCTGCTTCGTATTTCGCAGCGGTTGATGACCGAGAAAATGAGATGTTTGAAAGCTTCGCGCCCCGCACAGGAGCACGTCCTGTGCCGCTCGTTCGCTCGTGCCATCAGCCCAAACCATCATGAGTGATCTATATGGCGCAGATGCTAGCGCTCGCGGCTCGGGGCCTGCCAGGGCAATTGGCGACGAGCTATCAACGACATGCCCAACCGCATCTACTCCACGACTCCGAGAGCCGCAGGAACCACACACGGATCCTGGGGACAGCGCTAGCGGCAAGCTACCACGGCAACTCACAGACTATACTTCTCGGGTCACAGACTCAAACCTCGAGACGCCATCCTTTCCATTTCACGTGTTCCTTTACGGGCCCCTGATGGATACAGATGTGCTGCAAGCGGTTGTCGGCGTCGCGCGCAGGCCAACACTCCATTCCGGGTACATTCGAGGATGGCGGGTACGGATGTACGATACACACCCTGTAATCGTACCGCAGACGACGCTTGGACAAGGAGGGGACGTTGTGGTGGCTGGCGTGGTGTGGGAGTGCCGTTCGCCGAAACAGCTCGCGCGGCTGCAGGAGTACGAGACCGAAGCCTACACATTGTGTTCCTGCGAGGTAATTTTGGAAGGCGAAGGGACGGCACTGAAGAACAGCAAAGTGTTCTGCTGGGCCGGCCATGCGGACAGTGAGGAGTTGACGGATGGGTGGTTCGACCTGGGTTGGTATAGGGAGCACATGAAGCCTGCGTTTGTGTGCGATTAGACACATACGACATGTCGACCACACGTGGCCGAGCCATGGATGTGGCAGCCTGTGATTGACATCTTGACCGATGTGACATCCGTGAGACAAGTAATGCAATCAGGTCTCGATACGATGCGGATCTCCTACTCTTCGAGACCGTGTTGGCGTCACAATCACAGCTGTATCAGTAGTGGCGCTTAGACTGGTTCCATGTGAAGACCGACATTCAAATGAATGACTGCGAGAGTCCAACAAAAGAGAAAAACTGGAAACATCGCTGCTGCGTTGATCCATCGAGGACAGCTGTTGGCTAAGGCAGATGTCCATTCTGGACAAGAGCTACTTCACAGCTCAGGCGACCTTCTCAACTACCGGTTAGTGAACAAGAGGCAAGGCTCGAATATACAGACGCTGTTCCTTCTTTCTGTTTTTTTTTTCTCTTTTTCTTTTTTTGCGGAAGTGGCTATTGCTGCAAGGTGCAAAGAGGACTGGTGTTGGGAGAGGCGCGTCTAGGCAGCGAGCTCCATTATCGATAACGATAAGTCAGACGTCCGGACCCACTTCGTTGGCCTGCCGTGGTGGGGTAACGACGATGAAGCTCACCACAGCTTCAACTTCGCCTCCTCCCAACTTGGGCGAAGCAGCAGACGAACGCCTTGCGTCTGCACTCAACACGCCAGAAGTCAAGATGGCGTCCAAAGCAACGCCGCCCCTGGCGTGCTGGGGTATGTATCTCGACCTTTCTGCCGAACCTCCTGCTGCCCTACATACATCCTGGTGACCAAGCTGACCTCTCCATAGAGCTCGATAACAATATTGAACTCGTCGACCCCAAGCGAGATGCCCTGTATGCATTTGACGAAGCTGCAAACAAGGAGGCCATGTCTGCCCGCGCTTGGGCGCAGAATCCACAACATTTCAAGCGTGTCCGCATCAGCGCGACCGCCCTCATTAAGATGGTCATGCATGCCCGCTCCGGCGGGTCCCTCGAGATCATGGGCCTCATGCAGGGCTACATCAACGGCGACGCCTTTATCGTCACAGACGCTTTCCGACTGCCCGTAGAAGGCACCGAGACACGTGTCAACGCCCACGCAGATGCTGACGAATACATGGTCGAGTACACCGACGCCTGCCGCCGACAGGGCCGCATGGAAAACGTAGTCGGCTGGTACCACTCGCACCCAGGCTACGGCTGCTGGCTGTCAGGCATCGACGTCATGACCCAGACAACGCATCAGCAATTCCAGGACCCCTTCTTGGCCGTCGTTATTGACCCTGACCGCACCATCAGCGCCGGCAAGGTCGAGATAGGCGCCTTCCGCACCTTCCCGCACCCGCCTTCTGGTATGGCGCCCGGAAAGGAATCCACCGACGACAGCGGTGGCAGCGGCGCCACGACCTCTGACGGTTTCCAAGCCGTTCCGCTCGCCAAAGCCGCCGAATTCGGCGCCCATGCGAGTAAGTACTACAGCCTTGAAATTTCCCACTACAAGAGCACTCTCGACACGCATCTCCTCGAGCTGCTGTGGCACAAGTACTGGGTGCAGACGATCAGCCAAAGCCCGCTCTTCACGAACCGCGACTATGGAAACAAGCAGATGCTCGACCTGGCCTCCAAGATTGGCGAGGCGACAACGCAGCTCTCACGCCAGAGCCGCATCGCGCAGGGCGGCGCGGCGACGATGAACCTAGGCGGCACACCGGGGTCGAGCAAGCGTGTCGATGTCGTGATGGAGAAGCTCGTCAGGGACTGCAGCTCGGTATCTTCGCAGGAACGGACGGGGCTCATGGCGGGCGAGGTTAAAGAGAAGCTGTTCAACGGACTCGGCACATCGTCGTCGGCCGGTGCTGATGCCGGTGCTACTGGTGTCGACTCTCATTAAGCACAATGTGGGGCCTGCTTTGCTTGTGACGAAGACCAGGGTTTTGCGCTAGAACAAAACGCTGGCAGCATGGTCTGGCGTTGGGGGAAACACACGGAATGAATGACGAGACTTAGATAAAAAAATCCCATGCTATTGCTGTTCCTGCGCCTATTCTTGGTGCTACTGAAGCTAGCTGGGCAGGTAATTCTGCCCAGTGATGTCTTCGCCAGGTCGAGGCCTCGAACTACGTGCCGAAAAGCCGCACGGCAGTGACAGAAACCACAGGACTGCGTTGAGATCAGTGTCGTGAAGTCTATTGACATGCAGCATTATTACTTCGTCTATCGATCTCTGTGGTCGATGGTCCCATGACGTTCCTTAACGTGCAGCCTCCAGAGATTCCACTGGTCGGTCCAAGGCAACAACGGCACGACATCGACCTGTTCAATTGGCTAACGTCAGGCACTGCTCAGCTCGATGCCTTTACCTTGCCTGCCCGGGGATGGTTGTGCGGTTGGGCCCATTCGCGCCAGGAAACACACGAACCAGCCTCGCCACGGTCTGGACCTGAGTCCGACCCCGCGGACGTCATAGTCTGCTGACCAGCATGGAAGGCCCCATAACCAAAATTCTGGATGCGTCTATGGCACAAGACATCGTGGGTGCCCATACTGAATCATGACCACGAGCGGATGCACTGCGTCAAAGGTGCATGGAGCCTTGAGCATTTCGTCGGAAGCATGACATGACGACAGTGCGCATGAGTTGCTGTTCCCAGTCCTCACGATGGCCGTCAGCGCTGGTGCCAACGCTGGATGAAGGTCCCTCTCCATGGGAATTGGAGTCTTTCACAGAATCCACACACACCCTGGTACCCCGCAAAAATCGAACCCACCCCTCCACACCTGAAATCGCAAGCTTGGGAAGGAGACTCAACTGAGTGGATGACGCAGTGGGAGGGCAACGACGTCGTACACCCAGGGCAGCCAGGCGACGAGCGAATCAAGGCAAGTGGATAAGAGGTTGCGAAAAGAGGGCACCTGCATCAAGGAGGGTGGGATGGACAAAGATACACTCACTACGCAAGACAGCACTTTTGTTGACCCGGCTGGCGAAGCGGTACTATATTCGAGTGAGGCCAAGAATGTCATCTTGACATCGGCGAATGAGGAAGTGCTCATCACCGGGCAAAAGGGGAGCACCACCTGTTTATTTACAGTCGTTGAGAACGTGAGACGAGCAGTTCCGCGAGGCAGACGGACGACGGTTCGACCTGATCGGGGGTGACATCGAGATCCCATCAGTGGTGCCGCGAGCTTGGATTTGTTTCGACGCTGAATGACGAAGGGTGTCCAGAACTGATTGCCCTTTGCTGGGAACGGGCTGGGCGCCCGTGTCGTTCGTGTGCCCTGACTGGTCGAATGAGGGTGGCATTGGAGTTGTGGCCCTGACCATCCTGACCAGATCGCTAGCCAACTATTTTGGGCGGTTGAGGGGCAGGCCCAAGATTCCACTGTCAATCAACTAATGGCTGCTGATGATCTCGGCCCTCTTCATTACTTGCGGGGTGTTGGCCCCTCAAATATGTTGGCTTCGATTCGGCAGCAGGAGAAGGGTTGTGGTGTGGTCAGTGGAAGATCCAGGTCGACCAAGGCGGCCATGGGCAGCCTCTGAGAGAAGACTAGTTAGGAGGACAAAATGAGTTCCTTATTCTCAGCCCCCGGTACCGTTGGCGACGGCGTTGGAAAGGCGGATGAGGTACTTCCCTTGCGTGCCTCTTGACTGGTCCAAATACTACAACTAGGTGCAATTCCTTCTCCTTCTTGTTCGGCCGCCTCTGTGACAGCGACCGAGCGTTATTTAGGTTTGGACTTTGTGCTCGTCGCTTCAGCTTGGCGTTGGGAGGGCCCGAAATCGCCCTCCCCCACCCCACGATGCCCATCTACCTACTGCTGAGCGTGAGACATGACTAGTAGCCCCCACACGGACGAACAGGACCACACAACAAGCAAGCAACGGAAGCAGGCTTGACAGGCAGCGAGATCCATAAATTTTGATGGGGTGGTCTGGAAGCCAAGAGCCTTCAACAGTCGCAGCTGGGGTCACGCGGGGGGGGCGCTGCGCTGGGCGTTCCGTCCGCTAGTTTCGGGCGACTGACATGCTGCGCATCTGCCTCACTCCCCAACCTTTTCGTGGCTGTCCGTCTGGGTCGCTCATTGGCGACATTTCGGGCATGAAGGGATGCTGAGCTGAGCCGAGCTGACGCAGGGTTGCGTGGCAAAGGTTGATGTTTGGCCGCTGATAAGGGGCATCTCACGCCACCCAGGGGCCTGATCTGTGAGCGTGAGACGTGTAGGCAGCACAGCAGGAGATGTCCGAAGGGGCCGATGGCCGTTCCCCCGATGCTTGTGTCGTGTGCATGCCCTTCTGTGTTTGATGCCGGAGCCGACAGACTGACCACCATGTCCAGTGACCAGTGCATGAGCACTGGAAACGGCCAAAACATTGGAAGAAGGGGGGGGGGGGTGACCAGCCAGTCAGAGGGCACTTTCCAAACTGAAGATAAGAATTGGCTTTCTAGTGCTGTGGGTAGCACGTGTGCTAGGAAGTGTCTGGCAAGTACGGTTGGCTGGGGCCATCGACCTCGCAAATGCTTATCAGCGCTGTTCATTGGAGCAGACACCACATTGGGCAGGTATGACGGGTTTCTATCCTTCCATTTTTGTCGACATCCCGCGACTGCCGTCCGGAGATGGGCTGGCAAAGCAGGCAGGCACAGAGGTGGGGTGGTATTTCCCCAGGTTGCAGTGGGCTGGCTGTCCGCTTGGACTGGAAAGAGTCCTCAGAGCACAGCAGCTTCCCGTCGTTTCCCTTATCTTGCACGCTCAACTGAGTTGGGCCCTGCCCTGTCTTGTTCCGATACGAGATTGGTGCTTCCGAGTCGACGAGATAAACCGCCCGCCCTGAGACGAGATATACCTGAAGACGCTGCCACACCAAAGCACCGCTTTCGTCCGTCTCTTCTTTTTGTCCTTCTTCGCTTCCTGCCCTTCCCTGCCCGGCCATCGAAAAGTCACTTCACCAGGCATCAAAGCAATTCTGCCTGGCACATAGGCCTCGTGACCATAGTTTCCGACCGTCTATCGAGCCACCCCCCACCACGCTCACTGGGCTGACCCGCCCGTACATGACACCCGACCCCTCCCCCCAGCGATCAGATCCCAGCCCGCGTCGTGCCAGTTTGACCGCTGTGGCATGCATTGCTTAGGGGTCCAATTGTACAAGGTGCGTCCCTGGCCCGCGTCGCAAATGCATCGACGTCCAAACCTGCCACCCAACCACTCTCTTCCCCTTTGATCTGCCAATCTCCTTCTGCCACTTTGCACCTCGCTGATCGAATCCCTTCCATTCAGAATCCACCAAACGCCAGCTTCGAGAAGCCCCGTTCGGCTCGGGGGAAAATCGCAGTGCTCGACGACTTGCGCTTCATCTCCCAACAACGGTCACACTACAACTTTCTGCTTCCGTCGAGCTCCCGAACCTTCATTGACGAGCACCACCAGCGGCCCTGCGTCATAGTCGTTAGCAGAGCTGCTGTTGTCCCGTCTGGTCCTGTAGGAACAATCGTGGGATCAGCGACTGCACAAACCGGTTCATTTCGGGCGACCCTGATTTGCTGCCTTTGAACAGCCGTTACGTTACGGAAACCCCCCTCCCCTAGATCCAAACGCCCCTGGGCCCAAGTGTCGCGCTGCATCAGCGGTATACGAGCCCCCGGAACATCCAGAGCCAGAAGAGAAGGTCCCCTATTTGGCGCAAACGCGTCCCGCTCTGCCTTAGCCTTAGGCCCTGTCCCATCCTTGTCCGGCATGCCCCCGCCCTTCCGCCCGGGGCCAGGGTTATCGAGTCAGTCAGCATGATGTCCCCGAGGAGTTTCCTTTACTCCAAGCAACACCCACAGCCACTTCATACACCCACCAAACGCCTACAACACAACCTCCCCTCGCCCCCGATTTCTCCCTCCCCAGCTTCGAGCCCTCCTGCCATCATTCTTTCCCACCGCAAACCACACAACTCCGACATTTTCTTTCCCAGCTCGCCTGCAGCCTCCTCTTCCTCGCAGCAGAGAAAGTATGCTCAGGACGTTACCGTTACCGTCGAGCCCATCCCTGCCACTGAACACAGCGCCCCACACGTCATGTCGAAACGCAAGTCTACCCACGAGACAACGAGGCTCTCGCCTTCGAGCCCGCCCCGGACAACCACCAGCCTGAGCACGAGGCCCACGACACCCACCAGTCCCGTTCAAATCCCTGCTTCGAAGACCAAGGGTTTATCTTCCCGGAATCACCGTCATCATGGTCAGAGAAAGGCGACACGTCCGCGGGACGTCCACGATCCTGACTCTATTCCCGCCGCCATGGCCGCTCTGCTGGCTGTCACCGATATCCCTCGTCCTCGGCAGCGGAGGTCAAGGCGAATCTCGAAGGACCAGTCTCTGACACTCGAGGCCATTATCGAACGTCAGCAGGTCTCCGAGAAGGAGCTCAGTCTGACTCTTGACCGGAGCCCCATGGATCTCCTCTTGTCTCCTCCTGAGGACATGTGCGACGACGAAAGCATGTCGATTCTCAGTGGCAGCGGCGTGGGCTCTGCCTTCTCGACCAGGACAATCTCGATGGACTCGATCCCTTCTCTAGGCGACTCTTTTGCGACTGACGGAGTGTCGTCCATTGAGACCCCCTTTCACTCCACAATGCGCGTGCGCAGGAAACGTTCGCAGCAACCCAGGCGATCTCTCGAGCCTGTTTCCTCGCCGTGTGGCATGTGCGAGGATCACCCTCTATCCATGTCCGACGAGGACTCGTCAGATTCCCTAGACTACGACGAGCTTGCAGAGCCACAGGATAGTGAGGACTGCCGGTCTGAGCTGTCCTTTTCGGACTTTGCCTTTCCTCTACGCCCCCTCAAGTCGGCTTTCAAGTCCAACCTCACTGCATCCCTTCGTGCCTTGAAATCGGCGGCCAGGTCTATCTCGGCCCTCAACCTATCGTCCATTCCTCCGGATGACTTCCTCACTCGCTCGATTCTGACCATCGATCCTAAGGTTCCTTATACCGATGAGCGCCGCCCTCCAGTCCTGGAGGAGGAGCCGTCGGCTGCTCTCCGTCGCTATCTCAACCCCACGACGAGCGCCCGGCTCGAAACGCATCCCGCCGCTCTCTCGCCTACGAGGACCTATACTGCATCCATCCAGATGCAAACGTACAAGGTACAGCGATCTCGTAGCGCGTCACTCTCGTCGACTCGCATCGTCTACCCCATTACTTCGCCCTCTCCGTCACAGGCAGCCCCGTACCAACCCCCGGCGCAATCGCCCCAGCAGACGGCATTTTCCTATCCCCCCGGGGGTATGCGACAGCGCGAGACACGTGAGAACTCCAATTTCATCCGCATTGCTGTCATGGAAATGGCGATGCGCAAGGCCGGCAAACTCGATGATCAACGGCCAGGCCGAGCGCGTTGGACATTGCCCCCTCGCAAGGCGGTTGCGCGAGCCTACGCAGTAGGTGCAGATGGTGTGCCAGCGCGCTGGGTGTCGGTCTCACAGTGAGCGGCACACGAGTCAGGTCGCCACGAGATTACATCACACAGAACAGCACCCGGTGGCCCGCCAAGTGATGGCCACGCGACATGTGCAAGCATTGCCAGCCACTGGACTGCGCAACGACGCCAGTATACAGTGCCGCGCACCGATTTCGCCGAGTTGCTAGGCTTGGCCACGAAACTCGCATTCGAAAGCAGGAAGCGAGCGCGGTTCGGTCACCGAAGGCAGCAGATTGAGGGTGCCAGCCATTGAAGCGGGGCTCTCTGACGATGCGGTGCAATCGGAGGTCGCCGAGGAGAAATCAGGAAAGCAATTTCTGGGCGGCGTGGTGGGGACAGTATTGCCGCCGCGCAGACGACTCCCGACACCGTCGTCATTCGACAAGGCTCCCCAGATTGGCAGTACCAGAAACTCGCTCACTCCCAGCTACGGCGAGTGTGTAGTGGAGCCGAGCAGCAGTTCTCCTGCCTTTTCCGATGTCGCCGAAAGGACATGACTGGAGGCCATTGGTCAACACACAGCACGGGTCCAATCCCCCCCCGGTGGACTGTCGACGAGGGCATCCCGGTTCGCGTCCATTCTGGAAAGAACGGATCAGCGGACCCTGCGGATTGGCTGTTACTTCAGACTTTGGTAATGGCATCCGTCAACGCCTTGAGGGCATTTGGGCGACGGCCTCGGACAGCCAGGCACAACACAAAAGCACAAAGCACAAAGCACCATCCAGACAAGATTTTCTTTTGCCGGGCGCCGGGCGGAGCAATCCACAAGGCCGGCGGCCGCATGGCCCTACGAAAGGGCAACACATGGCAGGGCAGTACCAAAACCAAAGCGGTGCAACATGAACGACACCAAGAAGCACGCGCTACCCACACATATGACGATTTCGGGTTTTTTTTCTCATGGCCAGGACCCCCTTTGTTATTCCCGGTGTTCATTGGACCACGAACAGCATGCGCACATGTCACCGCCCGCGAGGGCTCAATTTTTTTTTTCTTTTAGTTTCGCATTTCAGCATATGCATAGCGACGGATCAGGCATGGCATTTTGATGTAGGATACCAATGGGAATTGACCAAGTTTTCATCAATACGTTTACCGACTGCTGGGGCGTGACTAGTATGCGTGAGCGTGCGCGCGGCGTCTATCTGCGTGCGTGTGTGAGAGGCGTGTTCCATTGTGCCTGGTCGGGCTCCCATGCCGATGCCCCGTCGGCAGGGGTCCCGTTCGTGGCGACCTGTGAACGGCGGGTTTTTGCGGGGATGTCAGGAACGCGTCCTTGGGATCTTTCTTTTTTTTTGTCGCATGCGTGGACAGACGAATGAGGAGAGTCATTACATGTACACGGCTATACGGCTTGGCGGAAGCGGCCAGTTCTATTTGCACTAGTACTTTTTTTTTTTTTTTGGCAAGGAGGGGGAGGGGGGGTTTCCCTTGCTACGATGTGCGCGCTATGCGAGCTCATGGTGTGCGGTGAGAACAAGAGATTGCGGTGAATGCAGGCTTCTTGGCCTGGAGGAAAAACCCTCTCGT